CCCCCCCTCCTTCCAATTCTAAAGCTCTGGATTGTTTTATTTGAGTTGTGCCTGTTCCTGCTGATTTTAGAAAAAAAATGATGCATCAATCGTCAATTTTGAACATCTTTCCTTCCTGACCTACCCGGGGTGTAGTTATCTGGTTGGTGGTTGGCAGGTGCTCTGGTCTGGTTTGCTCCTTCTCTCCTATCAAACATCTATTATCCTTACCTCCCCTCCTTCTTTTTTTGTTTGTTACTCTCTTGTAACACCTCTAGTCTTTGGCACTTATACGACCTTATTGTGTTGCAAATGCCGTAATACTCTCTTACTAAAACTAAAGATATGGATAGTGTTGGTATCTTAAAAGTCTTGCCAGTAAATGTGTCGCGACACTGTAGATTCAGGCGCTTGTCAATTTTTGGCATATTGAGCTATTGGTAACATCATACTGCTTGTTCATTAGTCTTGTTTTTTTATTGTTAAAATAACATACATCTGTCTTCCTCGGAAGTTGAGATATTTACAATTGAAGTAGGTGGGGGTATCCTAGTTTCAGGGGTAAAATTAGCGAGAAAATTGCCGCCAAAGTTTGACAACTTCCAAAGCTTGGCAGTCCTTGGAAACGGCAAATTTACACTTTTGTGTCTTAAATCAACATTTTTTTTGTAAAATCCAAACAGAAATGTGTTTTTAAATGGACCTTAAAGGTGTTGAATCAAAAAACAAAGATTCAGTCAAAATTGCCTAACGGACAGAAAAATGCCAGTTACTCCGATTTAATTATTTTGACGTTTGTTGTTCTATGATCTGATGTCAAGTGTGATTTTTCTCCTTTCCCAGATCTGACCATCCTGGATACAGTATACAGCCCAGAAAAGAAGAGATTCTTCATTGTGGATTTATTACATTGGAGACATTACCCGTACTATGACACAGAGGTAACTCTACTGGTTTTACACTTTCATCTCAAACACTCATGATTAATGTGTTGGTATATAATAATAAAATAATAAATAGCATTTGTATAGCGCATATCCCCGCTCAACAGCAGGCTCTATGCGCTTTACACTACATTATTACCCCAGCAGACCATAGAACACTTCGAAACATTCTCAGCTTCCGGGGAAGCATACAGTGCAAGCAGCTGATTAAGCGCTCAAACACTAACAAACTGACAAGATCTTTCGCTGTCTATAGCCGGGTACCCATTCCCACCTGGGTGAAGTGAGGAAAATTCGTGTAAAGTGCCTTTCCCAAGGACGCAACATTGGGCCCTTGATGGGATTCGAACCCACGATCTTACGGTTGCGAGTCCGAGAGCCTAACCACTAGGCCACCGACGTGTTGAATAATTGTGGCGACAGAGTTGTGGTTCATAAGACTCATGCTACGTATCCCATGGATAGCTAGAAAAACAAATGAAGTCTTTGTTGAAGCTAATTGTAGAAGACAGCTTATGACAAATATAAGAAAGCAACAGGCAAATTTCTTTGGACCCACAATGCGGAAAGAAGCATTGGAGAATATTGTAACAACAGGCAAGTTTGATGGAAAGAGAGGCAGAGGCAGACAGAGGGAAAAGATACTGGACAAGATAACAACGTGGCTGGGAGCAGCAAGAACAGACACCATAGCTGCAACACAAGACGGAGTGAAGTGGAGGTCCATGATCGCCCACGCCAGTCGGCAAGGCTCCGGATGAAGAGGATGAGTTTGATATAAAAAAGATATTCTAGAATGGATGTACGAAGTGCTTTTTCTTCTATTAAGCAGTGCTGCTTATATTTACTGCTCAGGCATCAAATCTTCAAGGTCAACATTGAAGCATGCTTCTCGTATACGCTGCAATAATTTCAACGATTCACCCCTCATAATAAATAACATTGTCAGAACTTTTTCCTATAGCCGAGATCTGACCTGTCCACAGATAGTCACTACCATGTCCACAGATAGTCACTACCATGTCCACAGATAGTCACTACCATGTCCACAGATAGTCACTACCATGTCCACAGATAGTCACTACCATGTCCACAGATAGTCACTACCATGTCCACAGATAGTCACTACCATGTCCACAGATAGTCACTACCATGTCCACAGATAGTCACTACCATGTCCACAGATAGTCACTACCATGTCCACAGATAGTCACTACCATGTCCACAGATAGTCACTACCATGTCCACCACTACTGTTTCCTTTTGTTTCACACACAGTTTGATATTTTAGGTTCTCTTTGAAAATGGGGAGTGTACCTTTGAAAGTTGGATTTAAACTTGCTTCAACATCATGTAAGTAATTTTTAGATCTTGTCGATCAGTCGTCTTCAGCCAGCCTATTAGAAGCTTGGGTTAAAGTTTGCCGGCTGTGGCCGGAAAATTCCGGCAAAAGAAAGCCATGGTGCCGGTTCAAAATATAATTTCTTAGATTTTTGTGTCAAAGCAAAATTTCGTGCACTGTAATGTAAAATGATATTGATGACTGCTTTTTTTTAAGTATTGAAAAGACTTTAAAAGGAAAACAGTTGTCAATGTGCATGTATTGTAACTTTTGCATGGCACTAGTCTTTTGCAGGCCAGTGATCAAATAAAGTGTTTAAAAAGCGTGAACTCTGTTTTTTTATGAGTTGTGAAAAAACGATTTATTGGGAAACCCCTGGTTTAACCTAATTTTATTTTAATATGTGTCTTCTCTTTACCTTAAGCATCCAGCAACATTTACATCTACATTTTCCCTTTAGATATGAGGAAGTGGCAGTATGGTTTGTATCTGGATGGCAAAGTTCAATAGTTACAGAGCAGCTCTTAACTGGAATGTTCTGATGTGTTTTCCCAGGCAGAGTTCCGGTTCTTTGTCTTGCCATCCAAATATTCCGAACTGGACCGTCCCACAGAAATTGATGACGACAATGAGGTGAGTACCCCAAGAAATACTACTTTGTTTTATGTTTTAGTAGAGGTTTTACGGTGCTCGCAACTGCATACGGTCATATGAGCGCCAAAGGGTGGATGTCAACAAAGAAGTTCAAACGCGGAATCAGGCTTACTCTGCTCGCCTCTCTAGCCTCAACAGCACAATGTCTGCTTTGACTAAAATACTTCAGTGGATAGTCAGTTTGTGGACATTCTGGGTTCTTTTCTGTCCTTTTTACTTTTGTTTGGAAATTGATGGACATTTTTATTACCTTTTTTTAGCAATGTTGATTATGTCATTTTTCCAGCTCAATTTGTTGTCATTTGTGAGACGAAGCTATTTCTATGAATTCACGATTGCAGTAATGTTTCCTGTTTAATCAAAAGAGATGCAACTGTTGTGTTTTCTGTCTAAAATCCCAGACCTCCGCAAAATGTACCCTTAAAGCTTTTCACTTATAAAGAAGACAAGAGGAGGGAAATGTAATGTATATCATCATTGCCTTTCTCACCTGCACCAGGATATAGGCCACGGACAAACACTTTCTCACCCTGCACCAGGGTATAGGCCACGGACAAACACTTTCTCACCCTGCACCAGGGTATAGGCCACGGACAAACACTTTCTCACCCTGCACCAGGGTATAGACCACGAACAAACACTTTCCACCTTTCTCTCTCCGGGGCTAGCCTCTTGATGTTATTCCATGTCTTCCCACTTTTCTGTACATCAATTTCTGTAATTCTTCAGGTTCCACGAGATCTTCCCCTTGATCTCTTACCCTGTGGATTCCAATCCAACACTTTCTTTGTTATGCAGCTGCCTGACGTCCTGAGAGTATGTCCAATCCAACACTTTCTTTGTTATACAGCTGCCTGACTTCCTGAGAGTATGTCCAATCCATCGCCACCGCCTTTTTCCTACCTCATCTCTGACTGGGATCTGTCTTGTTTTCCTTAACACTTCCTCGTTGGTGACCCTGTCTGTCCATCTGATCCTCAGTAACTTTCTTAGACACCTGTTCAAGATAACCTGGATCCTCTTTATGCAAGTCTGTGATGTGTTTCATGCCTCACATCCATACAATAGGACTGACTTCACCTTTGAATTGAAAATCCTCAGCTTTTTCGAAGTGAGATCTCTCTGGTCTTCCAAATCCTATCCAAAGATATGAAAGCAGCCTGTGCTTTTCCAATGCTTGACTTTATTTCCACAGTTGTTCCTCCCTCTCTGTCAATTATACTTCTAAGATAGCAGAAGGTTTTAACGTCTTCTAGTGCATTTCCTTAGACCCTCTGGTCAATGTATATGAATTGTGTGATAAATATTTTGCTACCCAATTACAGCTGTTGTTAAGGATTTCTATTCTACACCTTTTTTGTTTTCTTTCCTCAAGATTGGATTATATGTCATGTTTTCTTTTTTCTCGGTTACTAGAAAAACTAATTTTTTTCCTTTTTTTTTCCCCACAGCATCCGTTGGAATTACTAGAAAAGTATCCCTGCACGCTTGAAAAGATAGAGGAAGTTCTTAAAAGTACCACATTCAAGGTATGAAGGCTTGTGGAGGATTTGCTGTTTTGTTTTATTATTTGTGAGGCAGCATGATGAAATCAGGCCCTCGTCACAACAATGAAAGTAAAAAATCTGACATTTGTCAGCAGGTTTGGGAATTTTTATGGAATTTACTTTTTTTGGCTCAACATCTTTTATGTCCTTTACAGAACACATTTCTTTGTAGATTTTACTGAAAAACGTTGATGAAAGGCATAAAAGATGTACATTTTTTGTTAGTTTCCACAGACTCTCAAGCTAAGGAAATAACTCAACTTTTAGCTGTCATTTTCTCACTATTTTTACCTCTGAAACCAGGCGACCCCCATCTCCTTCAATCACCAATATCTTGACTTGTATCCAAGATAAATGGGATTTTTTTTTCACCGAAAGCAAGGCTAATGGACGGTCTTTAAAAGATGTTATCAATAATTTATCATATGCCCCCGAATTGACGAGCGCCTGATTCCACCACGTCGCGACACATCTGTTGACGCTCAGTCGACCCCGGGGCATCGTCACTGACTGTAGTGTCTTTAGGCCATTCCCAAAGGGGGTGACATTTCTCGTTCAAGCACAGTAGAATTGTAAATTGGCTGATTCATCAATGTCACGCTCAAAACTGTACCTGATGTACAACTGGGAACTGCTGCTTTTTCTTTCCTGATCCTTACTATTGTCATTTTCCTCTACTTCTTTTGTATGTTTGTCACACTCTTGTGACCCGCTATTTCCGGGGTGCCTTGATAGTCGAAGCAGACATTGTGCTGTTGAAGCTAGAGAGGTGAGCAGAGTAAGTCTGATTCCCTGTAAAGACTTCTCTGTAGACACCCACCCCATGGCGCTCATATGACTATGACCTTATGCAGCTGCGAGAGCCGTAAAACCCTTTACTATAATAAATAAACAGTGGAAGTTGTACCAGGCCGCCAGCCACTGTGGGGGAGAATGGTGGTAGTCTGAGACAGGTGAACATCTTGGACAGTTACGTTGTTATAATATGTGACGCAACCTGGTGAAGTCCGGCGCTTGTCAAAAGAATGAAATCCAAGAAATCGGCTTTTTTCTGAAAGTTTGGACATGTTTTCAAATTTTGTTTTTTTTAGCTGAACTCCTTGTATGTCCTTTCTAAAACACTTATTATTCTGTGGATTTTATGGAAAGACGTTGATTAAGCACAATACGAATAGAAATTTGCAATTTCCTAGGACTCTCAGGCTATGGAAGTCACCAAACTTTGGTGGCCATTTTCTTGCTAATTTTACTTCTGAAACCAGGAGACCCGACCTCCTTCAATTGCAAATATCTCGTCTTCCGTTCAAGATAAATGGATATATTTTTCATCAAAAGCAAGGCAAATGAAGTCTTTAAGATGATACCAATAACTCCACATGCTCGAAAATTGATGAGCGCTTGGTTCCACTACGTTGTGACACATATGTGAAGGGTGCTGACAAAATGAGTTACTTCTCGGATTCAAGCCCTATGGAAATAGATACATCGTGCTTAAAGGTGAAGGTTTTTACACTTTATAAGTCTGAAATAATGAACTACACTTCCGGGTTGTCAGCTCTCCCAAGAGATTTTCACTTTTTGAAAAATTAAAAATTAAAAAAAACCCTAAATGTTTGACATGTCCTCCCCAAAGTTGGCCCACATTTTATTTCTGCTACCTCTATTTTTGTGAATTGAAAATTTGAAGGCTAAATAATAGGTCATAATTTTTATGCAATGCATTTATGGCTGTTGCAACTGCACAAGGTCATAGGAGCGCCAAAGTTTATATTTTTGCTTCCTTTTTCAGGTTGAAGGGCTATTGTTTATCAAGAAGGATTCCCTGTACGTGACCAAAGATTCGGAGGAAGTCCTGTGGCTCAAGCTGGACAAAATGGAAAAGGTGCTGGGCGTGAAGGTGCCGGAGGGCGTCACGTTTGCCAACACCAACAGCCGGGACGAGAAGCGACGCACGGAGCAGGAGGACAGGAAGAAGCTGAAGCTGGAGAGAATGGCCGCCCGGCAGAAAGAGGCAGCGGACAAAGCCCGGAGGCTGGCGGAGGCGGAGTTGAAGTCGAAAGAGGAGAACGCGTCTGAGGAGAACGGTGAAGGGGGCAATGATAATACGGAGGCGTGCGACGGGGAACGGGGTTCTAGTGCACAACAGGAGGAGAATGAGGGAGGGGAGTGAAAGGTTGCTTGAGGGTAGTTGGGAAAACATGCGCTTTCTTGTCGTATCTTCATCTTTTTAAAACGGTGAAAAATGTGACCTCTTCTTAAGCTCACTCTTTGATATGAAGTGTTTTCACTCTTGTTATTAAGAATGTAGATATGACAAGAAAGCACTGGGGTCGCGATGTGTTCACTTGGAAAGGTGCGAGTGTATGAGGTGTGCTGAGTGTGTTTGTGTGGATGATATCCGGGAAAAATTGATTATGAATTTATTATTTTTTTTACGTCAAAACGTTAAGTACAATAGAACATGGCTATTGCGGGACTTTTTGTTCCGGAAGAATAATCCGGCTGTAAGTACGTTCCAGCATAGGAATGCAAAGTGGAAATTACCGGAAAACCACAGGTTACACGCTCTCCTCTTCTTTTACTGTCTTTTTGGCCTAGCCTAGGGTTATGGCACATCACTTTTGGAGTGGCTCATGTGACGCGCCTCTCCGCACCATCTGTCTCTGCCCACCTCACTCATCACTGGACTGGCCAATCACAACGCCGTGCCGCTGACTGACTGCCTGCCTGTTTGGAGTCCACCTACAGCCTCCAACTGCACACCCCCCCCCCCCCCCCCCCCCCACCTCCCTTCCCTCCGCTAGAGCTCGCTCGCTCGATCTCTCCCGCTGTATCCAAGTTGGGGCCAAGGTTTTATGGCACTCGGTACTGCATGAGGTCATATGAGCACCCTTGCCCTGTTAACCCCAAGCTCAGTTAATTGAGTTTACATAGACCCCCCAAAAAAGGGGGGATTCCGGAACGGTCCCGCTGTGGGATGGTCCCGCTGTAGTCATGTCCCGCTGTATTTGTCTCGTGGTTCCTGTAAATTCCATTTGTTGGTTGTCTGAGATATGCCTTGGCACAGACTGTCTGGAGTTTTAGTCAGTCTCCAACGCTCTGGGAACCCAAGAGAGTTGTATAGTGACATTCTTTGCTGCAATTGTTTAGATGAAAGTGAAAGTGGGTGATAGAGAAATCTGTACTGTGAGGCATCGTGGTGAAATCAGGCGTTTGTCAAAATAATGAAATCGAAGAATCCGGCATTGCTATTTAAAATCAAATTTCTGGGGGGGGGGTTTTCGGCTCTACATCTTTTACATCCATTTAAAAACTGGATTTTACTGAAAAACATTTTTTAAGGCACAAAAAAATGTAAATTTTTAGTTTCTAAGGACTCTCAAGAGATGTCAGTAATCAAACTTTGGTGGCTGCGTTTTCTCTTTCTAATTTTACTCCAGAATCTGAGAGCAAGCCCTGTCTTCTTCAATCACAAATATCTCGACTTGTATTCAAGGTACAGATAGATATTGTTCCATCGTTCCATCGAAAGCAGAACCAATGGACTAGCAGCTTTACGATGATACCAATAACTCCACATACCCCAGTACTTGAGGGGCGCCTGATTCCACCGCGTCGTGACACATATTGTTACTGTGACCAGAAAATTGAGCAGCTCCGTTTGACCCTGCTCTTTAGAGTGAGTAAGAACACATAGGGAGTTACTCATTTTCCTTGTTTTGTCACAGTGATAATATGATAGTTGTTGTTGGTTTTTTTTAATGGTGTTAATTTTTTTTTTCGAAATTGATGTATTGAGAATGTTGTCAACTCCTTGCTCATTGGGGATTCCTTTCAGCTGCTTTTCTTTACTGTTGAAAGTACAGGAAAAGAAATAAACATGTTTATAACTTGAATATTTCAATCTTATTGCAATCTGTTTGGTTTGTTCATGTCAACAGTAACATTGTGTGTGCGTGTGTGTGTGGGTGGTTGGCTGGTGCTCTGGTGTCGTTTGCTCCTTCTTTCCTATAAAGACTCTATTGTCTCTATCTCCCCTCCTTTTTTGTGTTTGTTACTCTCTTGTAGCACCTCTATTTCTAATCTTCGGCACTTATATGACCTTATTGTGTTGCAAGTGTCGTAAAACTAAAACAAAAACGTCTGTTGTCCTTAGCTCACCTCCTTCCATTCTGTGTGTTCTTGTTACCCTCTAGGTCTGTGGCACTTGGCGGGTGCTCTGGTGTGGTTTGCTCCATCTTTCCTATCAAACTTCTGTCATCCCTATCTCCTCTCCTTTTTTGTGTATGTTACTCTCTTGTAACACATAATCTATTCTTCGGCACTTATATTGTATGAACTTATTGTGTTGCAAGTGCTGTAAAAGTCTTACTAAAACTAAAACTTTGTCACTTGTGTGTATGTATGGGAAGGTGGGGGATTCGACACACGCGGTAATTCCACACCCCCTCTTACAGCCCTTAGAACCAACAAAAAATCTGTTTGACATTCAGCTTTCATCATTTGCTTCTGACTGCCGTTTTATTTTTCAGTTCAGCTTTAATTTCTTGTATGTCTGTCTTTTTATTTTCATTTTGGCGTGTGTGCTCATGTGGGTGTGGAATTGCCTCGCAATATTAAATTTTTAATTAAGTTGAAAAATGGAAGTAAAGGGATGGTGATATTGTAGAATTCATATTATGTTTTGTTCCCTAACTTATCAGAGCCAAAGTAAAACTGTTGTGAAGGATGTGTCCTCTTTCTACGTAAAGCAGCTTCTATAACACTTGTCTCACAATCCAATTGCAAAGTATGGTGTGGAATACCCCCTTTTACCATATATAACCCAGTAGTGTGTTCATCAATGTCGAAATGTGAGGCACCATGGTGACATCAGGCGCCCGTCAAATTAAGGAAATTGATGAAACAGGCAATTTTTTACAGAATTTTCGTTTTTTGGCCCCAAATCTTTCATGTCCATATATTATACAAGCACATTTCCAGGTGAATTTTACTGAAAAACGTAGGCACAAAATCTGTGATTTTCCAGTTTTCAAGGACTCGGAAACTATTGAGGTTATAAAACTATTTTATGGTTAATTTGACCACTGAAACCAAGCGACACTACTTCCTTCAATCGCAAATATCTCTACTTGTATTCGAGACAGATGGGTATTTTTTGTGGTGAAAGCCGGGCAAATGAGTACTCTGTTTGCTATCAAATGATACCAAATATCTCCACATGCCCAAACATTGACGATGGGTGGTTGGTGGGTGCTGTGGTGTGGTTTGCTTCTTCTTTCCTATAAAAAATCTATCGTTTCTATCTCCCCTCCTTCTTTTTTATATTTGTTACTCTCTTGTAACACCTCTATTCTTCAGCACTTATAGTATGACCTTATTGTGTTGCAAGTGCCGTAAAACTCCTACTAAAACTATTAAAAAAACCCACTGACGAGCGCTTGATTTCACCGCGTCGTGACACAAATGCACTCGCTCGGTAGACAACAACTCACTCGGTAGACAACTCACTCGGTAGACAACTCACTCGGAAGACACATGAGGATAATTCCTGGCTATGCTACTGTGAATCTAGGTGGAAGGAACCGACACAACAATCAGAAGATAAAAGTAAATGAATTTATTACGAACAAAGGAAACATATGTAGGGGCTGTCTGAAATCTGTATTCATCTACAAATAATAATAATAATAAAAATAATAATAATAAAATAGGAAATTATCCATCACAAGGATAGTTCAACCATGTAGCTTTTATCACAAAATTGGGCATGATCACTAGACTATGTCATAAAACAGTACAATAGTATATGTGAGGCGCGCTGACAAAATGAGTTACTTCTCGCAGTCCACAAATGGAGATATTTGCCAAAAATTGACACTAGGGTCAAATTTGTAGATTTTCTATTGATGCCATATTCTTTAAGTATAACATACCTTTTATTTCATAGTTATAAATATTGTAAAAACTTCACCTATAAGTGTGATGGATCCATTTCCTATATATTGTAAAAACTTCACCTATAAGTGTGATGGATCCATTTCCTATATATTGTAAAAACTTCACCTATAAGTGTGATGTATCTATTTCCTATATATTGTAAAAACTTCACCTATAAGTGTGATGTATCTATTTCCTATAAATTGTAAAAACTTCACCTATAAGTGTGATGTATCTATTTCCTATATATTGTAAAAACTTCACCTATAAGTGTGATGTGTCTATTTCCTATATATTGTAAAAACTTCACCTATAAGTGTGATGTGTCTATTTCCTATATATTGTAAAAACTTCACCTATAAGTGTGATGTGTCTATTTCCTATATATTGTAAAAACTTCACCTATAAGTGTGATGTGTCTATTTCCTATATATTGTAAAAACTTCACCTATAAGTGTGATGTGTCTATTTCCTATATATTGTAAAAACTTCACCTATAAGTGTGATGTGTCTATTTCCTATATATTGTAAAAACTTCACCTATAAGTGTGATGTGTCTATTTCCTATATATTGTAAAAACTTCACCTATAAGTGTGATGTATCTATTTCCTATATATTGTAAAAACTTCACCTATAAGTGTGATGTATCTATTTCCTTACGGCCTGAATCCGAGAAGTAACTCATTTTGTCAGCTCGCTTCACATATGGTGTTGAAGATATATCAGGACATTTGTGTGTCGTGGTAAGTCTTCCCACAGCAATACAGTTACGCTAGCGGTACGGGTCAAACCAAATTGATTTAGTAAACCAGTCATATTTCTAACACCACATCTAATCACCGAAAAAAAAAAAAGTTTAGATAACAATTATCACAACTGAGGGGTTGCAAAACAGTATGCATAACATCAACACAGCCAGGGAAACAAACGTACCAGCGATGATGACTCCTCACTGGGAGTGGGCGGAGCTAGAGAGAGGGGGAGGAGCCAGGGGGAGTGGCGGAGCTAGGGGGAGGGGGGAGAGTGGGCGGAGCTAGGGGGAGGGGGAGGAGCCAAGGGAGAGTAGGAGGGGCCACGGGGGGGGGAGCTAGGGGAGGGGGAGGGGGAGGGGCCAGGGGGGGAAGGGAGTCACAAGAGAGGGATCAACACAAAACACCACAACCTTCAATGGAACAGGGGGGCGGGGCTGGTTGATTGCATTTGGTTTTTATCTTTTTTTAAGTGTAAGTAGCCTATCTACTAGTACTAGTAGTATCTACTGCTCAGTTTTTGTGTCTTGTCTCTCTCTCCTCTCGTGTAGGTTTTTACAGTTCACAAACGTATCAAGCTTTGCAACTGCTCTCAAAGCCCAGAGCTAAACACCTTTTCCTTCTTTAGAAAATTGTCAGAAAATTCTGTATTTTTTCTTGTTTTTTGTACGAAATTTAGAATTTGAATTTCTACAAGATATTTCTAGAACATAATTATCATATATATATGCACATGCGACTATTGTTATCATAGATTTGGAA